TCCTCACAGAGAGTTTGTGTTCCACTAAGTGACATTAAGATCCTGTTCTCAAGCTGTTTTCCTTTCACCTACTGCCTAGTTTTTTGAGGTGGGAATGAAGGTAGGCGAAAGTTAATTGTAGACCAACACAAAGAGCACAATGCAGCATGTGTTTGCAATAATGTTGAATGGACACTATGAAGCAAGTCTGATGATAGGACCTGATCAAGCCATGCTCTGGAGCCAATGGGTGACCCATCAGATACCGCTGGTTATGGGCCACCTTCTTTATTTTTTGAAGTTCTATAACATGGAAATCCAGTCACAGGTTAATCTTTACTAAATTTTGTTCTACAGAATTATTTAAAAATACAGGGAAATGATCAGGAATTGCTGTTGTTATAACGTAGGGGGATTAAATAGGTTCAAAATGAGTAGATTGTGTATTCCCATTACCTTGTGCAAAATGTCTAATTCAAGTAACAAGTTAGTCTGAAGCTAATTCCTCCTCTTGGAGTATTAGATGTTCTTATTTAATTTTCTGACAAAAATATGAATGCTGCAATTTCATTGATCCTTAAGGCCTTATTCCAGAACTTTCTTCATTGAGGTTTAGAAAAAGAGAAATACATTCTTTCTGAAGTTGAGGGTCCTGATTTTCTCAGTGTTAACAATGGGCCCTATTATGCTGCTTCCAACTGAGCAAGGCTAGAAAGAACTTCACAGCTGGCTGGGCACCTGACATGCCCAAGGCAGGTACTCTGACCTGCTCATATAGCCCTGGTTCCTCCTGGGGAGAATAGCAGTTTCCATTCCCTGAAGTGCGTAATTTATTCCAGGCTATGAATAGAATGAGCTTGTTGATTTGGGACTAGTGGCATTCCCCTTGCACAACCTCAGGACATGATTATCCATGCCAGGGTCATGCAGGAGCTTCCCATCTGACCCTGAGCAGTCCTTACCCTGAGCACTTAACAAGAGTGATAAGAGGCTATTGGAATGTCACATTCCCTTGAATTTATTTATATTTTTAATAAGGTATTGGCATCCTCTTTTGCTTTTATCTAAGCCTGACTTTCTAGGAACTTCATTACAAAAAGTCTATTAACTCAATGAGTTGTTAGATTAACTATATTAATACATGAATCAGGAAAATCATAGTCCTATAATGTTTCCTTTTACAGCACATGTGTTTTTTGAGTTCATAAAGTATGCAGAGCACTGCATTAGGTTTTATCAGTGACACAGAAATAAACAGGAAATAATGGTCCTGCTCCTGAGGCGAGACAAAAACTAGAGACAGAGAAATTTGACAGCAAGTAGAAGGAAACATATTAATGAATAAAATTATGAGTACCTTGATATAACCAAATACTTGTATTTTATTTAAACACAAAGGACAGACAACAGAGAGAGGGTGATTAGGAAAGACTTCCTGTAGATAGCAAATTGTACTAAATCTTGGAGTACTTAAATAGGGCTCAAAAGAATGAAAGGGTCACTGGCATGAGTAGTTTTTGCTAGGTATGGGAGAATTTTTTTTTTTTTTTTTTTTTTT